TGTTTCGACATATCGTTGATGCATCTACCTGAATTATTCCACCATGGGTAGACACATCGACACAGCTGCTGGGACAATGAACTGTCAAACCAATTTTGGAATTGACAATTTTGAATGAAAATTTTTTGAAATTTGTAAAAAAATACTGAAAATGCATATCATAACAACCCATGGTAAAATTAAGAAGGTAGAGTCATTTCAAAAAAACATTCCCATCTCTGCATTTTCTGTAATTTACCTTGTCACATTTCACTTCATAAAACAGGTTCCCATCTCTGATTTGTGTATGTAAAATGGATTTACAAATACAAATTTTGACATAAGATGTTGTCAAATTAATAATTTTTGAAAAAAATGTAAACATATGATTGCATGACTTTACCTCCTTGATTCTACCATGTAACAACCCATGATTTGTGGCGTAAAAGATTTCAAGAGGATTTATTTGAAGTATAAGTAATGGATATGGCAATTTTATACCAAATCCAGTGCGTTAACCCATTTATAGTAAACCTGCTGTTCCCAATCGTTGATGCACCTACCTTTATTATACTACCAAGGAAGAAATCTCATGAAATGGACTTTAACGTAACAGAAGTCGTAAACGGCGAAACTGATGAAAGCTTAAATATTGACTTCGGCCCATGGTAGAAGAATACAGGTAGATGCATCAACGCTTGGGAACATTGAAATGCCAAAAATTTTTTAATATTTTTTCAAATATAAGTAGATTTTTATATGTTGTGTTATACGACGTCATTTGGAGTTTATTCTCTAATTCGCGTTTTTCAACTATTTTTGCAAATTTAAATAATTTTTCATTCAACATTATTAATTCCAAACTTAGTTTGACATTACATTGTCCCGGCATCTGTGTCGACGCGTCTACCTATATAGGGCTTGCGAAAATTGATATGTCAAAATTTAAAATTTTTTTGTCAAAAAATGAGTAGATTTTTATATATTTTCTTATACGATGCAAATCGCAGGTTGTTACGATATGCATTTCTCAACAATTTTTACAAATTTTAATAATTTTTCATTCAGCATTTTCAATTCCAAAATCGGTTTGACAATTCAATGTCCCAGCAGCTGTGTCGAAGCGACTACCTGTACTCTTCTACCATGCTTCGGGGTGAAAATACAACACTGTTGCCATTTGGCTACAATTTACACTGTTTACAGCTATCGTCTTTTATTTTCACTACGAAGTCGCGTTTTAAGCTTTGATTTATTTAAACATTAAATGTCAAAATATTTTAGCAAACGTCATTCGAAGCATCATATCATTGAAAATTTTCGCCTCACCCTGTGAAAATCAAGAAAAGAAAACTAACAGAAAATATTTGACAATTTAAAGGTACTTTGAGTAGTTTAATTATGACAAACGACTTTGTATAATGTAAATATATTTTCTATGTATATGTGAGTATATATTGTGATTTCTTTCAATATAAATATTTTTCTTTACTTATTAAGTTATTAGAATTTGTAATAAAAAAAAAATTAATTTAACTACTTGGTATACAATATTTATATGATTGTTAAGGTATTCTGTGTGTATGATTTGTTTTTTTTTGTATTATTTTTTCTAAATAAGACATAGAGGAAGAGAGTGGCATCGGAATGTGTTTTGTAGTTGGTTTTTTTTTTCAATTATTGTAGCTTTTAAGAGTCTATGGAATTAGATTTTAGATTGGAAAGTCCATGCCAAAGTTTCAAGATCATTGTCACTATTAAGGTGATGATACATAAGCAGCTTGGCAACATGGCATAACATATTTGGTGATATATTATAAAGGGATTTCAGAGCCTCTCTTAAATTCTGCTGTAGTTTTTCTACGATGCCAAGCTTCAGCGATTCGCTTCATTGTCTTGCTTTGGAAGTGTCAAATTATAAAGAAATGTCAAAGTCACTGAGATATTCACATGGTAGAAGAATACAGATAGTCGCATCGATACAACTGCTGGAACAATTTTGAAAATGAAAATGTTGAATGAAAAATTATTCAAATTCTTTAAAATTGTTGAAAAATTCATATCATAACCTCCGATTGGCAACGTATAAGAAAACATATAAAAATCTACTTATTTTCGAAAAAACATTAAATTTTTTTTGACATATTAATGTTTCCAAGCGTTGATGCATCTACCTGTATTTTTCTACCATGGGAATTCAGATGAATTTGCCCCTTTCCGACGTAGCGAAATTTGCAATTTTCTTAAGATGTGAATACAAAAGCAGCTTGGGATCATGGCTAGGCATTTTAATGTCAAATTATAATTCCACCTTATTATTCCGTGCCATGATGTCAAGACTCGTATTACCTTAAGGTGACATTGATCCCATAAGAAAAAACTTATGACCACGCATTGACTTTCCATATCACTAAGTTAGTTTTTATAGTTTAATTTATTTTACAATTCGTTGATTTTTTTTAGTATAAGATACTACGAGGGTTTTATTTAATAGATTCGATATATTTTGTTGTTATTCTTTTTGAAAAAGAAAATTATTATCCATTTTCATAAATTAGTTACAGTTTCAAAAAACTACCAAGGCCAATGGGAGAGTCATGCATTGTGTCTTATAAATAAAAACTTTATTTGTCTCTCCCAATTATAAAGCTTCCATCGAAATCAGCTGATTTTCAGGTGAAACGTCAAAATACTTTATTGAGTTTGAAATATGAAATTTTGACATTTCCCCTGAATTTGAATTATTTTAGTAAGATCATGGTTCCACCAAACGTCATTTAAGTCGAAAATAAATATGTCAAATGCGTGAAGAGTTGCAATTAATTACAAGTATTACATATGAATCTTTATCTGGTACAATAAGGAGATAGATACATATGTAAAACCCATGACAAAAAAAATACAAGTATTCTCATTTTCTAAATTGAATATGGCAACCCTTTTCTGACAAACTCCCCCTTGTCACTTTTCAACTAAGAGTGACAGATTTTACAAAAATAATACATAAATAAAGAATTTCTTCCTTGGCACATAAAAACTGCTGTACGTGCCATATCTTAGGAAAACCATGTTTATTTATCTCATCTTGGGGTTTAAACACATAGAGATAGAGATTTTTAGCCCTTCATCTTAAGGAAACGTTCTCGGTGATGTACGTTATTATTATATATTATTTCAAGTCCACCTTTAGGGATCCAAACCCCAGAAATACCAGTTGAAAAATGCTGCCAAATGTTGCTGACAATTTCCTCTTATGAATTAATGCCAATTCGACTGAAAACGAAGGATAAAGGTGGGAATACATAAAGCGCATATTTCGCTGGCTTCTTCGGAAATGAACAAATTAGCCTAGGTCCCAAATCGAACTAAGTCAACCTGCGCTATAACTAAGTCAACCAGCCAAATATGCGCTTTATGTATTTCCACCCTAAGAATCGTCTACCAGTATTTCCGCAAACAAGGCATGACATTGCCTTAATACTTGGCAAAACAAAATTTAATCATTCCATAATGACCTACACGACTCAGTCTATCAGTCCAATGTTACAGTTTGCTGTTTTAGATTATGCTCTTCTTTGACTAAGAGGCGTGAAAATAACAAAATATTTGGTCAAAACTAAATGCAAAATTCTTGTCAGCTGTACGCCCATATTTAAGGAAGAACTACAAATAACAAATTTGAGAAGGAAGGGACCATGGTAGAAGAATACAGGTAGTCGCTTCGACACAGCTGCTGGGACAATGAACTGTCAAACCGATTTTGAAATTGAAAATGTTGAATGAAAAATTATTAAAATTTGTAAAAATTGTTGAGAAATGCATATTGTAACAACCTCCGATTTGCATTGTATAAGAAAATTTATAAAAATCTACTTATTTTTGACAAATCAATTTAAAAATTTTGACATATTAATGTTCACAAGCGTTGATGCATCTACCTATATTCTTCTACCATGAAAGGGACATACAATAATTGAATCATCTTCTTCTCTTTGATGATGTTGACATTCAATGTGAGTGATTAACATATAATCTTAGAACTATTATTGTTTTGTTCTAAGGATATATTATAAAAAAAAATAATCTGATCATAGCATTAGGTTACCTTGGTAATTGTACCATGTGTAAAACCCTTTTCGTCTGATAGCAGCTTAATCGCATCAACAAAATTGTATTTGGTCCGGAGAATAGTGGCCTGAATGTCAAAAGATTTATGAGTATTGCTTTTGAAATCGCAAATGAAATCAACAAGATTTGATATTTAAAAATTATAACAAGTGTCAAAATTTGCTTTTCAATCACAATAATACATTTTGACATATGAGTTGGCAATCAGCTGATCTCCAAAGGAAAACTTTATAATTGGCCTAGATCATGGCCATGACAGAATATATAGGTAAACCATGTTTCACAGCTGATCATGAGATAAGACGTCAAAATAATTGTTATGGTTAAAATTACAGTATGACAATAAACAAATAGTCAATAAAAAAACAGGACAACACTGATCACGACTCCCATATTATAGAGCGTTCACATACAATTCTTTTGAAGCGATTAACCAACATATTCAATAAGTCACAATAAATTTAACATATGCCAAATTTATTGTGATTAGATAATTATCAGCTAAACCTCGTTAGAACTTTGTATGTAAACGTTCCTTTGGCCTTGCGCTCTTAATTTGATATTTTCGTGTTTTCTTTATTATGTTTTTATTCCATTGTTGATATTTAAAAATAGTTTTATTTTCTAAAATAAGAATTGTGTTTTGTTTTCATTTTAGTTTTAATTTATGAAGTTTGATTTGTTTTTGTTTTGAGTTATAAAAAAATGTGCTAATTGCAAAATTTTGTTTTTGGTTGTTGTTCTTTGTTCCGTTTGTTTTATTTATTGTTTAAATTTATTAATAATAACTATCACTAATAATTTCTTTGTTCTTGTTTAAGTTTTTATTTTTTTAATGAATTTCATTAAATAATTGCTTCGTTTAATTGATTTAAATTTGAATGCTGTTGGTTTTTGTTTTCTTAGAGAATTCGTATTATTTGGTTTCAGTTTTGGTTTTTTTTTTTTACAATAATTTTTCATTTCATTGTTGTATGTTAATAATTTTGCATTTATCTAATTAAGAATAATTGTTAATTAATATTATCATTATGTATATAGAATTTGTTTATAATTAATTAATTATTTATTTGGCTCAAGTTATAAGTTTAGCAAAGAATTTCCCAGAAATGTTAACATCAATGTTGAGACGGCCAATGGTGATAGGGTTGTTGGGGCCGTACTATTTCCAGCCAATATTTCAGCTCGTTTGCGCATGCGTTCCTGTTGGGTGGGAGAAAAAAGAGAGTGAAAAATTAAATTATAATTATTGAAGAATAGGAAAGGAATTAAATTAATGCAATTGCATGCTTTTTTGAAATAAATGTGTGTTTTTAATTTAAGAACCTGGTAAGGCGGCTTTACATGTTTGGTTTTATAAGGATTATTTTAATTTTAATTCTACATACAAATCATGTTCTCTCTAATAGGAATGATAAAAGAATAAAAGTAGACGCATCAACGCTTGGAAACCTTGATATGTCATTTTTTAAATATTTCTTCAAAAATAAGTAAATTTGTATATATTTTCTTATATCACTTCAATCGGATCTTGTGATGATATGACATGTATATTTAAAAATTTCAATATTTCATTCTTCAAAATTTTCAATTTAAAAATTTGTTTGACAGTTCATTATCCCAACAGCTGTGTCGATGCGACTACCTTTATTGTTCTACCATGGTATGCGGGTTTTTTAATCTTGTAAACATACTTTTAGGCCATGATAGAAGAATATAGGTAGATGCGTCGACACAGCTGCTGGGACAATGAACTGTTAAACCAATTTTGTTATTGAAAATGTTGGATGAAAAATTATTTAAATTTTTAAAAAATCTTGAAAAGTGCATACCATAACAACCTCCTATTGGCGTCGTATAAGAACACGTATAAAAATCTATTTCTTTAAAAAAAAAATAAATTTTTTGACATTTCAATGTTCCCAAGCGTTGATGCATCTACCTGTATTCCTCTACCATGCTTTTAGGCCATGTAGCTTATTACTGTCTATTTACACATATGAAATCCAGTAAGATTCAACTATCAATTCCATCGCTAAACGCAAATTTAAACCACTGGATTTAAAATTTAAATTACCTATATAAATATATAAAGGTAGGTATACTAAATCGATTGAATTTCAACTGTCAATTTCATTGCGTATACTTCAAATGACATCTCTCGAATCTCGTTGATTTCATAAAAACCCATTAACAGCTTCGTAAATTTTAAACGCACATTTATTTAAAATTAGATAAAAGAAAGTTATTTCTACTTTTGGTTATAGCACGTTTACATACGAACTGATTAACGCTGGCAACTGTTCAATCACAATCAGTTTACTTATTTTCAACATGAAATGTGTCTCTATATATGAGATTTTACGCTACAACCATGGTAAAAGAATATAGGTAGATGCATCAACGCTTGAATACATTGATATGTCAAAATTTTTAAAGTGTTTGTCAGAAATAAGTAGATTTTTATATGTTTTCTTATACGAAGCAAATCAGTGGTTGTAATTATACGTACTTTTCAATTTTTTACAAATTTCGATAGTTTTTCATTCAAGATTTTCAATTCCAAAATCGGTTTGACAGTTCATTGTCCCAGCAGCTGTGTCGATGCGACTACCTGTATTCTTCTACCATGGCTACAATATTTTCGAATATTTATGACATTCTTTTTTTCATTCAGCTGAGCGTCATTTATAAACTCCCAAGGGTGTATCTAAACACACAAGGTTAAATCATTAGATCTATTAAATTTGTATGTAAACGTACTATTCAGATCATTTTTGTATGGATTTAGTTCTTGCAAGAAAATCGAAATAGGTTAGTGTTTTATTGTACAAATAGGCAAATAGATTTTCCATAGCAGGAGATAGTAACTTGCAATCATGCAAATCATATTGAAAATATAATAAAAACATAACTTACTTAAAACGATTTTAAAGAAATTTACTAAATAAATAAACAAAATAATACAAAAATATTAATAAATTATAACAAAATAATAAAATAAAACAAATAAGGAAATGAGGTAGAATAAAGCAACCTCCCATACGAAATTTGTCTTCTTTTTGGTAGAATAAGAACTCTCATGTAATCATATGTTTACATTTTTTTTTTGTTTTCAAAAAATTATACATTTTAAATCCATTGTATGTTGATGAATTAAAGATGGAAACCTGTTTTTATTTAGGAAAATTTGAACGAATAAATTCCATAATATGTTTAAAATTTGAAATGAGGTTGCCTTCTTAATTCTACTGTAGTTTTGAACATTGTAAAATTAAGAAGGTAATGCCATTTCAAATAATAGTATCCGTCTCTGCATTTTTCAGAATTTTTCTTGCCACGTTTTACTCATGATAGAATTAAGATTGTACAGACATGTAAACATACGTTTAATTTTTTTTTTCAAAATTATTCATTTGATAATATGATTTTACTGTTTGGAATATAGATTTCCATTTATGATTTTAGTAATACAATGGATTTATAAATATACATTTTGACAATGAGATGTTGTCAAATGAATAATTTTTAACAATTGTATACACATGATAGCATAATTTTAAACTTCTAAATTCTTCCATAGTTTTAAATAATTACGAAAACAATTCAGTTCTTGCAAAAAAACTAATTGGCAATCATTTTTAAAATTCTGAATATTGTTCTCTATCTTGGATATGATTTGACACAATAAAGTTAAGAGTATATAAGCAGCTTGAAGTCTTTGCATGACATAAGATACTTAATAACAAAAAAAATCCAACAGGAATCATATTAAAAAAAAACATTTTCAAATTCGAATCAATCAAATACAACATTCCACTCTAATACGTTGGGCACTAATCGTTGCCCACCATTTTTGCAACAAAAAACATTGTGTATGGCAATGCTGTACCAGTTAGAATGCAACTCTGTTTGAGAAAAACTCAGAAAATCGATTTTTGCACAATAAAAAGTGTTTTAACGTGGAATTTAGTTTAAAATTCGCGAAATTCGTGTGATAGTTTTTACATTACTGCTCAATATTATTGTGCTAAACCTTATAAAAGTGTGTGTTATGTGTGAAGAGCAAGCCAATGCAACTACGTCATCGGATTAGACAGTTGAGGATCATGAATCTGGTAAGTAAACATATTTCTTTTTCGGCTTTCCTAATTTCTAAAAGTTGTTTTATTTATTTTCCTTAGGTAAGTCATTGATTCTATTCACTCCTATAGCATTTTATATACGAATAAAGGTCCAATGAAGGCAACATCCTTCTTTGTGCTTTCTGCGTAGCAAGTCGCGAGGCCCAGAGCTTGGTCCTCTTGCAGAAAAATTGGATGCTCGTTTCTTAAGCATTGCTGGAGACGAGTTATTAATTAGCAATCGAAAGTTCCGTTAGATCGGGTAATTGCTCCTGTTCCACAGATATGGTATGCTTAGCAGCAAAAAGCCCAGATATTATTTACTATTGATTTAAAGAAGTCCAAACATCTAATTTTCATATCCTGATCTAATGTCTTGATCACAAACAAAATTTATACAATTAGTCAACGCTCTTACAGAATATTAAAGGCCCATTTTTCGAGAAGAATGGATACAGGAAAAACAAAAAGAGAAAAATCAAGTGTCCTTAGGAAAATTTGGCAGCCTATGTTCCAGGAAGTACTTATTGCAGAAAAAACATGACCCTGTGATCCAAAAGCCGAAACGTTACAAATATCTAAAATTTAGGGGTAACCTTAAAGAGGGGCTATACAGAAAAGGGTATGCCTTTGAGGGTTTAAATTTGCGACTAAGATCCCGAAGTGTAAATATATCGTTACATTGATTCAATAGACTTTATTCAGATAATGAATGTCTGTACTTTATAAGGTGTCAGACTAATATTTCGACGTGTATTCCAAATGAAATGTTCAAGTGAATATAGACTCAATTTTATGCTGGAAGTTATTCTGTGGTCCCTCAACTTTTATTTTTTGAAAGGATCATCACATTCGTGGATTTAATAATCAGAAATGTCTTTAAAGCGGTTGGGGGTCTACATAACTAAGATTTTTGGAAAGCAGTAGTTGATCGTTCAATATTAAAATTTTAGAATCAATCTTAGGCCAATCACCTTAAATCTGGGAAACTGATCTTCGTGAATATGTCAAGCACAAATTATTGAAAAAAATTGGTTATCCTTTCATCGGAAATGATTGGGATCTAACCGTTTATCTTTAAATTGTATAATTTACAAAGCAATCAAGTTTGTTTGTGGGTATCCAACACTGAAGTTTTGTTAACCAATAATACGCTAGTCTATAGCTATTTGTCCACGGTCTTTTTTGAAATCAAACAAGAATTCTGTTTTAAAATCTGCTTGTTAAAGGGAAATTCTTGGTTTGTATTAGAAATACTAAAAAAAATCAAAAAAGAAAATATAATAAAAATGAATATATCCATTCATCCCTCTTATTTCGCTTTGATGTAAATACCCGAAACTATTGTTATTTCAATACCCATCAATTTCTATTTTCATTTGAAAATAAGTGAGGTGTGTAAAATTGATTGATTTGCAAGGATATGGGTTTTTTCGTTTCTTGATCCTTTTAATAGTAAAAAAGCATCTGAGTATAAGAACAAGGCCAATTTAACAAAGCCGAACAGGAGGCGAGTTCCGAACACATTCGACCTTTGTTGTCAAAAGATTTTTTTGTGATATATCAACCCTAACAAGTGTTTCACAATTTCTTATTAAAACTTTGTACACCTGTATTTTTTTAAATAGCAAATGAAGACAACAAGTGGTCTTACAGTGTTACTTTCTAAATGCATTTCTATATAATTTTTGATTTGATTTTTGTGTTTATAATTGTGTATTTGTGCGTCGGATTCTCCTTTGATAATAATAAACATTCCAATTAAAAATAAATAAATTCTGTTAAGCTATTTTTTCGACGACTAGAACTGCATTTCCAAGCTAATACTCTTTCTATTGCCATGTCCAGCTGTCATAAATACCATATATATATGTATCTCTGCCAAAGAATTTTATAATTATGGTATTTAATATTTATAATTAAAGGAAACTACCATCGATTTCCTGATACAAAAACAACAACTTTTTAAATGCATTCATTATTGCATTTCTACACCCATATACTACTCTTGTAAAAAAGGCATTTTCAACTCACCTGATATTTATTATCTTCGCCGGGCGGATCTAAACATTCGAACTCACAGCACCTTTCTCCAACACGGAAATTTTTGCAGAACTAGAAAAAAAAAAAACAGAAAACTCTTAACATTAAAAAACACAATCACGAGCAGTTAAACATGCAATAAATGACGTAGGAATGAATGAGGTATGACTAGGCAGAAATAGTACTATGTGCAGTATTGATTTGTGACAGTGGTGTGAAAATATATATTTTTTAATTTTTGTTGAGCTAATTTGAAATACTCTACAAGGCCTATATAAAGCCGGCCATCTGTCTACTAAGTTTGCTGTCAAAATACATAGTTGTGATTTGAAATTCAAATAAAGCCAATCACAGCAATTAAATATTACTAAGTTTTTTGTCAAATGGTTGTCAACAGGAGTTTTTTTGTCCAACTTTATTTGGGCCTTGAAACGTTTTTTTTTTTTTTTGAAGATTTTCTTAATTATATTTTTACGTTTTATTAAATATTTAAATTTGGCTAAATATTTAAATGGTGTGTTATATTTAGAAATCTCCAACTTACATATGGTGGATCACAGTAAATGGCTTTGCACCACAGTGGCTCTGAATGATAGCAAACACACAGACTGCAAACTCCTGGCCCTGGTACATACAACATGCCGTGGTTCACAGAGTTACCTTGAAAATCAATGCAATCTTCCTCCAGACACGCTAAAAATGAATAAAAACAACAAAACAAAACAAGTTAGAACCATATCAATATGAATGCAATGTAGTATACAATAGGTATTAAGAAATTGTTTAAATATTTGTATAGACAAATATGGGCCCGTTAACACTGAGTGTATTTCTGGCCCAGAAATATAAGCAGGAGAAATTCGGAATATATTATACTTTTCTGATTTTACTTGAAACTAACGCTTTTTATTTGTTAGATCCCCCGAAAAACGTTGCTGCCAAATTTTTCAAACGACCCAAATGGCCATGAACGTGGATTTTTTAAAGAATATTTTTGTCCAAAGACCCAACGTGGATTTTTAAGAGTATTTTTTGTCCAAGAACCCAACGTAGATTATTTAAAGAACATTTTTTGTCCAAGGACCCAACGTGGATTATTTAAAGAGTATTTTTTGATCAAGGACCCAACGTGGATTTTTTAAAGAATATTTTTTGTCCAAGGATCAACGGTGATTTTTAAAGAATATTTTTTGTCCAAGTATCAACGTGGATTTTTAAAGAATATTTTTTGTTCAAGGATCAACGGGGATTTTTAAAGAATATTTTTTGTCCAAGGATCAACGGGGATTTTTAAAGAATATTTTTTGTCCAAGGATCAACGTGGATTTTTAAAGAATATTTTTTGTCCAAGGATCAACGTGGATTTTTAAAGAATATTTTTTGTCCAAGTGCCAGAGGTGAATTTTTTAACAAATATTTTTTTACAGGGACCCAACGTGGATTTTTTAAAGAATAATATTTTTTGATATTTCATAGAATATTTTTTTCGAGGACCCATTTTTTTCAAAGAGCCTTAAACGTAGATATTTTTAAGAATGTTTTTTTCATAATTTATTTGTTTAAATTGTTTTTAAGAATGTTTTTTTTTCAGAAATTATTTGTTTAAATTGTTTTAAAAAAAATTTTTTTGCAAGTATCCTAAACTTTTTTCCAAGGTCCCAAAGGATTTAGATTTTTTGGATGGATTCTTTCAAGAGTATTTTTCCAAGGACCTTAAACTTTTTTTAAATAATATCTTTCCAAGGACCCAAAGAGACTGATAGATTTAAAAAAAAAATATTTGTTCACGGACCCAAAGAAACATAAGGGTGTATTTTATAAAAATATTTTTTTTTTTCAAGGACTCGTTATTTTTTTCCAGTGACCCTAAGATCCAAGGACCGTAAAATTGTTTCCAAGGACCCTAATATCCATAAGCGTGGATTCTTTAAAGAATATTTTTTTCCAAGAATCTTAAAATGCTTTTCCAAATATTTTTTCCAACTGCCCTAAATGTTTTCCAAGGACCCTAAGATCGATAGGTGTGGATTTTTTAAAGAATATTTTTTCTAAGAATCTTAAAATGCTTTTTCAAATATTTTTTCCAACTGCCCTAAATGTTTTCCAAGGACCCTAAGATCGATAAGCGTGGATTTTTCAAAGAATTTTTTCCATGTATCCGAATATTTTTTCCAAGGACCATAGTCGTGGATTTTTTACAGAATATTTTTTCCATGTACCCAAATATTTTTTCTAAACATTCAAAGACCCATTTTCCTGGATTTTTTAAAGAAAAAATTCCAATTCCAATAATTTTTTACTAGCCGTGGATTTGTAACAGATTTTTTTCCAAGGATCCAAAGACCCATAGTCTTGGATTTTTTAAAGAACCATAGCCGTGGATCATTTACAGATTATTTTTTCCATATACCCAAATATTTTTTCCAAGTATCCAAACACCCATAAGCCTCGATTTTTTAAAGAAAATGTTTCCAAGGACCAATTTTTTCCAAGAACCATAGACCAACAAACGTGGATATTTTAAAGAATATTTTTTTCCAAAGACCCATAAACATAAATTTTTGAAGAATATTTTTTCCAAGGATTCTCGAATTTTTTCCAAAGATTCGTAAGAGTGGATTTTTAAAGAGTACTTTTTCCAAGGATCCTAGATTTTTTTTCAAGGACCCACAAACGTGGGTTTTTAAAGATTTTTTTTCAAAAATCCTAAAATTTTTTTTCAAAGTCCCACAAACGTGAATTTTTAAAGAATATTTATTCAAAGGGCCCTAAAATAGTTTCAAAAAGACCCAGAAACATAACACATTTTTAAAGAATATTTTTTCAAGGACCCTAACATTTTTTCTAAAGATTCGTAAGTGCGGATTTTTAAAGGGTACTTTTTCCAAGGATTCTAGTATTTTTTTCACAGATTCTTAAGCGTGGATTTTTAAGGAATATTTATCCAAGGACCCTAAATATTTTGGCCAAAGACCCATGAGCATTGATTTTTAAGGAATAGTGAAGTAAACCCAGGATATTCCATTTTTTCCAAGGAACCTTAAATTTTTTCTAAAGACCCAGAAACGTGGGTTTTTAAGATTATTTTTTTTCAAAAATCCTAAAAATTGTTGTTCAAAGACCTACAAATTTTTAAAGAATATTTTTTCCAAGGACCCTGACATTTTTTTCCAAAGATTCGTAAGCGTGAATTTTCGATCCTAATATTTTTTCCAAAGATTCTTAAGCGTGAATTTGGTGCATTCCACCAACGTTTTTCCACCGTAATTAGCATATAGACCTGGGAGTAATAGCTTCTAAAGTTCGGTTAACGTTTACTTTCAACAAACCTCAAAGATGAAATTTATGAGTCTATCGAGGACATGACATTTTTATTTGAATACCACACTCAAACTTTTGATTTTTTTATTCCTTTGGAATATTATGTAGTTACCAGGGGCAGGCAAGTTTTTTTGCGTGGAAGCATTGCCGATTTCGATCAGTCAGCCGATACCGCGTCGCCCTGAAACTACCACAATTAGCTAAGAATCTATCAAGTCGATTATATGAATAACAAGCTTCTTAAACAATAATTAATTAACGTTATTTTTTACCCATAGGCCCAATTAAAAACTGGTTCCACTGGATCATGACTTCGTGTGTGACCCATCATTTGTTTAGTGGTGACTTTTATTATGACATTCGTGGTGCCGCTGCTGTCAATCATCGAAGTAAATTGAATTTGCGCAACAAAAATTCTTCGTTAAGATCAAAACAAATTCCATTATGGAATTCAGTGATAAGCTTGGCGGATTGAGAGCTCATTGCATTTTGACTTTGAAATGTTGAAAAATTCACGCTAAACCAGATTCAAAATTCAAAAATTCTATATATAAATCGTAGAAACAACAACTGCCAAACCCACATGTAGGGATGAAAAGGTTATCACGAGTGAAAAATAAAAACCAAACGGCGACGAATTGATAAGACTTTATAGAGATTTAATTGTGATTTGAATACCCCTTTTTTGGTCTGTGCAAATTAAGTTCAATATTCGCATGGGGACACCTTGAAAAACATTTTTTGCTTAGACTAAAATAAATAAAAAAAGAAAAAAGTATTTTTGCTTAAATTAGTATAAACATATTTTTTATACACATACAGTGAGATGTGTCTCTGACGACGAAGTCTACCATATTAAATGAAACCAAGTTTCGTTCACATTTAGTTCATACCAACAGTGTTCTACTGTACAATATTTGTTGTGAATTAATTTTTACGCACTTAGACATGCTTTTGTCTTAATGACAATTACTAACAGACAACATTATTTTGATTGTGTTGTTGCGTATTTCGCAGGTTAATTGAGGAAGAGGAAATTCATGATAACTAATTGTCTAGGAAATATATTTTATTCACTGTATTTTGCGATTTTAGAATTTGTAAATTTCATAAATTTATACAAACAACCAAAGCATATTTTTTTTCAAGGATCCAAAGAGCCGTAAATATGGATTTTTCAATAAAGAATAAATTTTCCAAGAAACCAAAGTGCCATAAACGTGGATTTTCTAAAGAATATTTTTTCCAAGGACCCAAAGGGTCATAAAAGTGGAAAATTTTTTCCAAGGACCCAAAGAGCCATAAACGTGGATTTTTTAAAAAATATTTTTTCCAAGGACCCAAAGGGTCATAAGCGTGGAATATTTTATCCAAAGACCCAAAGAGCCATAAACGTTGAATATTTTATCCAAAGACCCAAGAGCCATAAACGTGGAATATTTTGTCCAAAGACCCAAAGTGCCAGAATTGTCGATTTTTTAATGAATATTTTTTCAAAGGACCCAAAGTGCCATAAACGTGGATTTTCTAAAGAATATTTTTTCCAAGGACCCAAAGGGTCATAAACGTGGAATATTTTTTCCAGACCCCAAAGTGCCATAAACGTGGATTTTTTAAAAAATATTTTTTCCAAGGACCCAAAGGACCATAAACGTGGAATATTTTATCCAAAGACCCAAAGAGCCATAAACGTGGAATATTTTTTCCAAAGACCCAAAGTGCCAGAAACGTCGATTTTTTAAAGAATATTTTTTCAAAGCCCAGAAACGTGGATTTTTTAACGAATATTTTTTCAAAGGGCCCAAAAGGCCAGAAACGAATATTTTTTTCCAAGGACCCAAAGAGTCATAAACTTGGATTTTTCAAAGAATATTTTTTCCAAGGATCCAAAGAGCCATAAACGTGGATTTTTTAAAGAATATTTTTTTCCAAGGTTCCAATTAGCCATAAACGTGGATTTTTTAAAAATTATTTTTTTCCAAAGTCATAAATAGCCATAAACGTGGATTTTTTAAAGATTATTTTTTCAAAGGACCCAAATAAACTATAAAGGTTTTTTTCCAAGGACCAAAGATACAAAAACATGGATTTTATAAAGAATACTTTTTTCCAAGGACCAAAGAGCCATAAACGTGGATTTTTTAAAGATTTTTTTTTTACAAGGACCCAAAGAGCCATAAACGTGGATTTTTTAAAGAATATTTTTCCAAGGATCCAAAGAGCCATAAACGTGGATTTTTGAAAGAATATTTTTTCCAAGGACCCAAACAGGCATAAACGTGGATTTTTTAAAGAATATTTTTTCCAAGGACTCAAACAGCCATAAACGTGGATTTTTTAAAGAATATTTTTTCCAAGGACTCAAACAGCCA